TCTCTTTGTCTCTTCCCCTCAGTCTGTAACTCTACCTCTCAAATAAATAAAGTCTTTAAAAACAAACAAACAAACATGGCGGCTTGTACCAGCCAGTTGCTGGGCACACGCAAGAGCTTCTGCAGCTGCTGCTTTTGCCCCAAATGGTGCCTGCCCTCTCAGCCTGTTGTCAGGCACCATTGTCAGGAGAGAGAAATGTGCTCCCCACCCCCTTTTTTTAAAAGATTTATTTATTTATTTGAAAGACAGAGTTACACAGAGAGAGAAGGAGAGGCAGAGAGAGGTCTTCCATCTGCTGGTTCACTCCCCCAATTGTCTGCACTGGGCGGAGCTGGGCTGATCTGAAGCCAGGAGCCAGGAGCTTCCTCTGGGTCTCCCACATGGGTGCAGGGGCCCAAGGACTTGGGCCATCTTCTACTGCTATCCCAGGCCTAGCAGAGAGCTGGATTGGAAGTGGAGCAGCCGGGTCTTGAACTGGAGCCCAGATGGGATGCCGGCACTGCAGGCGGCAGCTTTACCAGCTACTCCACAGCGCCAGCGCCTGCTCCCTTTTTTCACTGGGTCAGCAAGTATCCTATCCCCCTCAGGTCTCCAGGCCAGACTCACGCCACGCCCTCCCTCCAGCTGTATCACCCGCGGCCTGGGCTGCGGCAGTCTGATCTCACCTTACTCTCCAAAGCCGGCATTTTCTCCAGCTCTCAGTGCTAGGGCCGTGCGTTGTGTGCACGCTCTTGCTGTGCATCTGCACCTTCCACACCGATGCACCGCGTTCCGCTTCCTTCTGCAGAATTCCCATGGGGTTTTCTCTGTGACTCCCCCCTGAGAACGTGCTTTCTACACTGTTTTACTCCTTACCCCTATGCCTTTCCCTGTTCCTCCATCTTGGAATCTCCAGGCTGTTAAGATTTTGCCACATTTGGTTTATCCTTTCATCCAGCTAGGTTTCTTGTTTCTCTGAACAGTAAAGAGTAAGTTGGACCATCACAGTCTGGCTTAAATACATCAATGTGTATCTCCAAAAATAAGGATATCCCTTAACACACCCAGAAAATATATCCTTTATAGTACATAGTCTACTATCATCCCAGTAATATCTCTTATACATTATTTGAGTCAGGATCCAATCACATATCAAGCTTTGTACTCAGTAGCCATGTTTTTCATAACACAGACTTTTTTTAAAGTTTATTTATTTATTTGAAAAGCAGAAATACAGAGAAAGAGAGAGAGAGATAGCGCACTCCATCCACTGGTGCACTCTTCAAATGGCCCCAATAGCCAGGGCTAGGGCAGACCAAAGCCAGGAGCCAGAAGCTTCTTCTAGATCTCCCACATGGGTGCAGGGACCCAAACTCTTGGGCCATCTTCTGCTGCTTTCCCATTTGCATTAGCAAGGAGCTGGATCATAAATGGAGCAGCCAGGACTCGAACCCATGCCCATGCCCATCTGGGATGCTAGTGCTGCACCCACTGTGCCAGCCCCAACACAGACATTTTGGACAAGTCCTATCAAGCTTTTGTAGAATGTCCCAATACGTGTATTGTCTACTTGCTTCCCCAGGCTCAGATTTGCATTAAATACTATTGGCAAGGACCCTGAGTAGTCAAAAATGGCACAGCATCAAAAGGCAATGTTCGGGGCCAGAGCTGCAGTATAGTAGGTAAAGCTGCCACCTGCAGTGCTGGCATCCCATAAGGGCGCCGGTTCAAGTCCCGCTGCTCCACTTCCAATCCAGCTCTCTGCTAGGGTCTGGGAAAGCAGTGGAAGATGGCCCAAGTCCTTGGGTCCCTGAACCTGTATGGGAGACCTGGAAGAAGCTCCTGGCTCCTGGCTTCAGATCGGCGCATCACCAGCTGTTGTGGCCATCTGGGGAGTGAACCAGTGGATGATGGAAGACCTCTGTCTGTCTCTCTGCCTCTGCCTCTCTGTAACTCTGCCTTTCAAATAAACAATCTTTAAAAATAAAAAAAAAAATTAAAAAGGCAACGTTATTCTGGCCCGTTATCGGTGATAAATGTCATTTGGTTCAGATAGCACTCTCAGATTTCTCCCATTTTCCTTCTGTGACATGTAAGTGATCCAGAGGGCAACTTTGAGCCTATGGGTATCCTGCCCAAACTTCCAGGGTTCTAAGCACCCATCCATTGTCCTTACTTGAATCAGACATTTAGGAGGCTGAAATGTAGCTCTCTAATTATACCTTCCTTCTGCATTTCTTAACTGATCTTCTCAAAAATCTACCCTTTCCACCCCCTTTTATCTATGTACTCAGCCCTCATTTATTTAAGGTTTATTTATTTGAAAGGCAGAGAGGATGAGTGCAGGGAGAGAGATCTTTGTTCCACCGGTTCACTCCCCACATAGCTGCAACATCCAGGGCCGGGCCAGGCTGAAGCCAGGAGCCTAGAAAACAGAATTCAGTCCAGGTCTCCCAAGTGGGTGCAGGGGCCCAAGCGCTTCAGCAGGGAGCAGCTGGGACTCAGACACTCTGATATGGGATGCAGAAATTGCAAGTGGCAGCTTAACCCACAATGCTGGCCCACACGCAGACCTTTTAAAAAATTCAATGTGTTGGGGTGGGCATTGTGGTACAGTGGGTTAGGTCCCCATCTGGGACATCTGTATCCTGTATGGGAGCGCCAGTTCAAGGCCAAGCTACTCCGCTTCTGGTGCAGCTCCCTGCTAATGTGCCTGGGAAGACAGCAGAGGATGGCCCAGACATTTGGGTTCTTGCCAACCACTTGGGAGACTCAGATGGAGCTCCAGGCTCCTCGCTGCAGCCTGGCTCAGCCCCAGCTGTGGCAGGTTTCTGGGAAGTGAACCAGCAGATGGAAAATCTCTCTCCCTCTCTCCCTCTCTCTGCCTTTCAAATATATAAAACTTCTTTAAAGTCAGTTAAAATAATCCATTTTGTCATCTTTTCTGATGACATTGTCCAAATGTGGCTGACAGGCGCCCCCTTCAGGCTGGCCCGCATGTCCTCTCGGCAGGGCTCCATCTCGAAGCATTCATGTGCTTTGGAAACCAGGTTCACTTGTAGAATCACCTTTTCTCACAAAAAATGCTGCTGTCAGTGGGGAGTGGAGAATCGTTAAGCAGAAGGCACAATCTGGGCGCTGTGTGCCGACTGCCACTCGGTCGCCTCGGCTTGCAGCCCCTTTCTGCTGAGAGAACTAGGGAACTATGCATTTTTTTAAAAAACACAAATTCATACTGACACTTCAGTTTCCACCCCGATTCTTCCTCTCTTCCCATTCCTTATCTCAGCAGTCTCCGCCCACAGAAAGAACCTTTGTCCCCAGCGTGACACACGAATGCATGTTTACTTGGTCTATCCTACAATAACAGAAAATAGGTTCAGAAGCACTGCGATAAACCAGTCCACCACCACCGGCTTAGTGCAGGTCAGACTTCTTCCCTGTTCTCACCCCGGAAAGCTCCCAAAAGACAGTCAAAAGTCAGCTGAGTTTTTGTCTAAGTGGTTGTGTTCATTTGAAATATACTTTACTTAATACAGGCCCATTGTTTAAGTCAACAAAGAAAGAAAACTAAAACTGGACCCAGTTTTTTTTTTCTGAGAAACAGGAGCAAGAAACAGTGTTAGCACAGGAACTCAAGTGACTGCGACCTGTATCCCAGTGGCCAGTCAACAATTCAGCAAAGCATTTTTTATTTGAAAGGCAGAGTGACAGGGAGGGAGCAGGAGGAAGAGAGCGCGCGCGAGAGAGATATCTTCCATCTGCTGGCTCACTACCAGTGAGGCTGCCACAGTCAAGGCCGGGCAGGCCAAAGCCAGGAGCCAAGAACTCCATCCAGGTCTCCCACATGGGTGGCAGGGGCCCAAGTACTAGGGCCATCCTCCGCCACTTTCCCAGGTGCATTAGCGGGGGCCGGATTGGAAGGGCATCAGCCAGGACTCCAACCAGCACGCACATATGGAACCCAATAGCAGGCCCAGTCAACAAGTCTTAGCACTGAGCTCTTGCCCGCTGATACTGGACTTCTTGCATCATAAAGCGGTAAGAAGCAGTTCACTGTTCCACTGACGCTTCCCTCTTGCAGAGCACCTGCGCAGTTCGGTGATTGACCGGAAGGACTTGATCATCAAGAGGATTAAGCCAAAGCCCCAGCAAGGTGACGACATCACGGTGGTGGACGTGGAGAAGCAGATCGAGGCCTTCCGCAGCCGCCTGGTCCAGATGCTGGGGGAGCCTCTGGTCCCCCAGCTCCAGGACAAAGTTCACCTGCTGAAGCTCCTGCTCTTCTACGCTGCGGACCTGAACCCCGACGCGGAGCCCCCTCACAAGAACCGGGGCAACCCCACAGGGCCTGCCAAGCACTGACCGCCAAGCGCCTCCTGGACTCCAGCCAGCTCCTCAGAAGCTCCAGCGGTACGGAAAGCGGTCAGAAATCTCACCAGACCAAATGCAGCTCACGTCCCTGTAGGTTGTAAGAACTTTCCACTCTTTGGTATATCTCTCTTTTTATATATATATATAATCCTGTCCCAGCCGATTCTCAGATATGGCTTCAATATACAAGGTGTATATATTTTTAATAAATTATTTATCTATACTTTTTTTTGGAAACAGGTAATACTATATGCACTGTCTGTTTAACATTTCCACTCAAGATGTGAGAAAAGAGCCCCTTTGCCGAACAAACTTGATACACCAATGTTGTGTCATTCAAGGTCCTGCCGCCTATTTCTAGAAAAAAAGCTGTTGTTTCTCCCCAGTGGAATGGACACTGTATTAGACCTGCTGAACTGTGGCCAGTCTGTTAAGATCTAATGTAATGAAACGGGGTGGGGGGAATAAAAGGCTCGAGTGTGAAACAAACCACCTGATGTTAAAAGGACACAATAAAAAGACAACAGTTTTTCAAAATACCAAGTTGCCTATGTTCAGGCTCCATGGGCGGGGGGAGGCGGGGGGGGGGGGGGGATATGCAGAAGGAGGTAACTATGCTGAACAGGACAAAAAGGCGAATACCCACGTCTGAGAAAGTAGGAAGGATTTATTGTCAAAAACAAGAGCTCTTAACAGAAGAAACAAATAAGTTAACTGTCCTGGTGACTGCGGACTCCAGGCCTCTCCCAGGAAGGGCAGCTCCTTCCGGGAACAGGGTGCTGCCCAGACAAGGTAGAGTGGGGATCTGAGAGCGGGTGTGACAGTGACCGAGCATGTGCCCCACGAATGCCTTTCCTCCATGATATGCGTTGCCCAAACATATGAGGCTCGTGTTGGTGAAAATGCTTTTGTATAGGAAAAACTGGAGTTCTTTAACACACACCTGCACCGGCACCCACAAGTTTCGGGCCCTGACCAGGGTAAGGAAATTAAGATAAGGCGACACTCCTTTCGCGTGGACTCAAGTCGAGGGTCTCACTGAACTTGTCTTCCCTACTGAAGCCCGACATCCACTGCCCTGCACCCAGCTGGCACACCCGACTCTCTCCCTTTGGTGGTTAAATTCATCTCACTGTGAAGTACAAGGCGAGAGCTGCAGGCCTACCATTGGTTGGACGTAGAAAGCAGCAGCACGCCTCCGACTGCACCAGCTCGCTGGGCACGACAGACGGGCAGCAGGGCACAGGGCTCCGTCAGCTCTACCAGCAAGCAAGGAGACTCCAACCACAAAGACCTCACAGAGGGCCGCCCGCCAAGTCTGGCTTTCAACTGTACGCGGCTCCCCGTGCTGGCTAGGCTGCAGCACAGTGAGCACTGCCAGGCCAGGATCTGCCAGGCCCAGCTGACAGCAGTCCGAGAGCCCAGAAGCCTGGGGTCTGAACGGCACAAGGACAAGGACAAATGACACAGAGACAGGTTAGCGGGGCCCCTCACGCGTCGCTCACTCCTGATGGGCCCATCTAAAGCAGTACAGGATAGTCTCTTCCACACAGCGAGAACAGACTTCGTACTAACGTTTCTCAAAAACCGATTCTGTCTCCAGCTCTCTCAATGGGTTTTGTAAAATACGCCTTTCCTATGTCAGAGCTGAGGTAAAGGGGGCTGGGTGCTAGAGGCCCTTGATCTGCAGACCCTGGGACAGAAAGCTCTAGAAGCCAGAGGGTGTGAGCACGTTCAAGTCCCGGGGTTTGAGGTGATGGCTCCGCGCCGGTGGCTTCTTCCCCTCCATCACCGGGATGTCCATCTTGGGCGGCTTGAAGGTCGCTGGGTCCTCAGCCATCCGGGTGGCCTGGGCACGCATCAGTTCCATCGGCGAGGGCTTCTGGGCTCCTCTGTAGGCCTGGACAGCGAAACCTCCTACACGAGGAAAGCAGAGAGCAATGACCGCAGAGCGCCAGGCGCCCCCCGGCCTCAGCATGGCGCCTAAGATGCTGCCGCGCCGGGCTGCTCGGGTGCTCGTTCCAAAGGAGCTGCCTTACCGGAGTCAGACTTCTGGAGGGGTCTAGGCCCAAAAAGGCTCCACTTCTCGGCAGAGCTTCTGTCCTTATCCCCACCGCCAGGGTCCAGGGCGCTGGGACTTGGGCCAGGTAAGGCTGCGGAGGAGCCCGAAGTGAACCAGCCTCTGGAAGGGAGAGTAAAACCATCCCAACACGTCCTCTCCCTACACCTCCAGCAGGGGCTCAGGAGAGGAACAGCCCGACCGCACTGTGGGAGCACCCAGGGGCGCCCCGAAGCTCAGGGGGCACGGAAGGCTCACCTGGGCCCCTGCTTAGGGGAAGAGTGGGGGCTGCTGCTCGGGGTGGACTGGGCTGACGCAGGCCTCTCTTCTCTCGTGAGCTCTCCGCTCTGCAGCTTCAGTTTCTGTCCGCGCGGGTGAGAGGAGGGACACTGTTGAAACGAGAGCGATGGCACAGCGGCCAGACACAGCTCCGTGCACACAGAGCGACTGGGTTCCCGCGCTAACCTCCAGCATGGGGGAAACCATTCATGGGGAATCATTTGGGATCCCATGAAAAACAGTCTCAGTTCTGCCACACCAGATAGAGCTCACCTCCCCGACATTCCGCCTCCACCCTGCAACACCCCAACACCCGGCCAGAGCAGTGCGGTGCTTTCTCACAGCCACCCTGCCAGCAAGTGGACGAGCCGGAACTCAGGCCGGAGGCCCTCCTGGCCTTTAGGCAGGGTCCCGAGCTCTTTTCGCCCTGGCTCTGCTCTGTCCAGCCCCCCGCCATCCCCTGTCTCTGAGCCACGCCTCCAGCCGGCCACTTCCATCCCCCCAGCCGCCTGCCCATTCGCCTCCTCCTCCTCCCCTGGGACCGCGAGCCACCGCGGCTCTTCGCACCGTACACATCCATCACTCCATGGACCGCAGTCCGGGACGGGAGACAAATCCCCTCCACTACCGTCCGCACTCTAGCGCCCCTGCCCGCCCTGCCTGCTAGGCCTCTGCTTTGCCCAAGCTGCAGCCCCAACCAACGCTCACTCGCGAACGTTCTCACTCCACAGCAATCCGTGTATGCTGCCACAGCATTACACGCCAAGGCGACTCCCATCCAGCCTTTGCCGTCCCCGGGTTCCGGCCTGTGGCCAGGGTGCAGTCAATTCCACCATCACACATGGCAAACTGCTCGGCTGCAGTTCTGACTGGCCAGTTCCAGTTGCGTGTCAGACACAGCGCCCCTCTCTGTCTTGTCTGAGAGCTTAAACGGGCCGCCAGCCCGGCCTTGAGCCCCCACAGCCGCGGTTTTTAAGCCGACTTGCCAGAGTCCCTGGGACAGTCACTACAAAACGCGAACAGCCCACGGTTCTCTGTACAGTCAGCCGCGGGTCGCCAGGCCTGCACTGGTCCCCTCGCCCGGAACCCACACATACGACGGCGCTGCCTGCTCTCCTGGCCGGGCCATCAGGAACAAGGCAGGGTGGAGCCACCCCTCGCCCACAGTCCCAGTGTCTGCCACCTTCGTGCCCCTTCCTCTGCCCCCCCCCCCAGGAGTCCCCTCAGGAGCCAGACTCTCAGACTACTTGAGAAGAAGGCGCGGGGGCGGGCGCTGTGGTGCAGCGGGTTAACACCCTGGCCTGAAGCGCTGGCACCCCATGTGGGCGCTGGTTCGAGTCCTGGCTGCCCCACTTCCAATCCAGCTCTCTGCTAGGGTCTGGGAAAGCAGTAGAAGATGGTCCAAGTGGTTGGGCCCCTGCACCCGAGCGGAAGACCTGGAAGAAGCTCCTGGCTCCTGGCTTCAGATCGGCGCAGCTCTGGCCATTATGGCCAATTGGGGAGTGAACCAGCGGATGGAAGACCTCTCTCTTTCTCTCTCTCTCTCTCTGCTTCTCTTCTGTGTGTAATTCTGACTTTCAAATAAATAATAAATCTTTTAAAAAAAAGAGAGAGAGAGAGAAGAAAGTGCAAAAAACCCAACCAAAGGCTGCAGTACTAAGACGCTAAATGTCAGCCTGGGGCCTCACTCTCCCCTGCGTAAGGTACGGGGCCGGCTCTGCACGAGGAGGACTCGCGTGTAGAGTGGCGGCCATGCGCCTCCCAGCAGGTGGCACTCCTCGCCCAAAGGAACTCCTCAGGGACTTTTCTTCATTCCAAAACCTTGGCTAGCAATTAAACCCTCACCAAAGTCAGTCTCCAAATTTTAGAAATGACGGCAAATTCGTTCAAGTTCCACGTCCAAATTTTTAAATGGGACATAAAATAAGATTCGTTTCCAGCTACACCACCCACCCCGTTGAGACTGTCTGATTGTCCCCGCAAAGCCCGTGGCCCTGCGCAGCCAGCGATCCGCAGTGAGAACTCAATCACATCACACCTGCGAGCTGAGAGCCAGAAGCAGACGGGGGGGGGGGGGGGGGGGGGCGGGCACGGACAGCCGGAGACGCAGACTTCCCGGGTAAGGATGTGGCAGCACAGGTGGGACTCCCCCAGCGCCGGGTCCTCTGTCCAGTTCTGCTCCCACCCTGCTCCACGGCCCCCAAGCAGCAGAGCTGCCAGCTTCCACCCCGCGGGCGTGCCCAGCCGGGAGGGATGCAGGTTTGTGCCGTGAGGGTTCCTAAGAAAGCAGCTTACGTGGAGCGCTTCTGCCACTCGCAGGTACTTGTTCTCCTCGGTGGTGAGGCCCTTGTGGGGTGTGTAGCCAGCGTCTCTCAGCCCTGCCTGCTGCTCAAAACGCTGAATGCTTTCCTGGGTCTGCTCTGGGAACAGAGGAGAGGACGGTCATGCCCGCCCCCCTAGCCCATCGCAAGCCGGGGAAGAGACGCACCAGAGACCACATGGATCACCCACAGCGTGGGGTCCTCAGAACGGCCGCTGTGGCTCGCCGGCTACTGGGACGTGGCCCTCGCGGCAAGCTCCAGGCGCACGCTCCTCAGCTCCCACCCACGTGTGCCCTGTGACACTTTCCCTGGATGTACAAACGCAACGTGGAGAAGGCAGCTGACACGAAGACGCTGTCACACTTTTCCAAATACCAAGTTTTCTAAGATTCACCACCCACACAGAAACCTTCGCCAAAGAGAAATGGGCCACGTTCCAGCCACGGTACTGACCACATTCAAACCACAGCCACTCTGCCTTGAACAAGCCCGCATCTGCTGACTGCGTGTCTGGCGTGCAAAACGGCCCAGCCCAGGGCCTGGCCCAGCTGCACACACGTCCGCTCGGCCTCACCGGCTCCCCTCACCATCAGGCGGTCAGGGAGACCGGGCGACGAGCGACCGCGGAATTTTTGCTGACTCCCTACGCGAACGGCATGAAACGCCCCGACAGCCAGGACCCTGGCAGCTGGGAACCCCGCTCCAGGCACGGGAGGCCCTTTGGGACCGAGGCTGTCCTTTCCTGAGGAGGTACCGCCCCCGGAACTAGGCGCACAGAAGACAAAAGCGGTCACCAGGTGGTCACCCGCAGACACTGAGTGAACTGCGGGCGCCATGCCAGGATGTGACACGCAGCTGGCTTTTAAAATATAAGGTGATGGCAACATGCACGGTGCACGACAGGATTAGCTGAGAACAGAGCGGCACGTCTGCCTCTCTGCGACAGGAAGACATGCGTGTGCGTGGAAGAGGACGAGCCCCCCAGGGACCTGAGAACCTCGTGTCCTGGGCGCCAGAGCGAGCGGGACTGCCATGACCGTGTTCTCAGTACAGAAAGGCTCCCACGCTCTAAGAACACGTCCCTGCAAAACACAAGCAGGAGCTGCTGACTCGCGGTGCACTCGTGGGTGAAGACGAGGAAACCAGAGTCCGGGTCTGGACTTTGGTTCTTGGCGGAATTCTTCAGAAATTGCCCCAGAAAAAGCTGATGCTATCCTGGGGAAGAAAAACACGGGCTTTGACTCCAAGACCAGGCCACCCTGGGGAAGGTCCGTGGACTTGACCCCAGGCCCACACACCTGCTGACTAGCAGAGCCCTGCCTTCCCATGGCGGCGGAACACCCTCCAGAGGGTGGGAGGCCAATTCCCTCATTACGAGGTTAAAAACCACGCCAGCTCTCCTACGGCAGGCGCACTCGGACCACAACTGAGGCACAAGCCTGGCCCTCTTCCTGATGGACCAACACGGAGGTGTTTCGTTAAAAAACAAGGACAGAAACACAGGGCAAGCGCTGAGCCTGTGTGTTGCCCTGTGCAGCAGAGCCTGGGACAGTAACAGCAGCAGCTCCCAGCCTCTCAGCCCTGACCGCCTGCCAGCACGGTGGGGGGCATTTTATAAAGGGGGCCACAGTCTCCAGTGTGCAGTCACTTGCCCACGACTGCAGAGACAGATACAGGAGAGAGAGACTGTAGCACCAAACTAGCAGCATGCACCCAGCCCAGACACACTCGTCTTCCACACATCTTCCACCCCAACGGAACGCCAACACGGGGCAGGGGGTACCTGGCCGCCACCGCGACACCAGTGAGCACAGCCAGGGACCACTCTGCACGGAAGGCAGGGCTTACTTGTGATCAGAGAATTCATGATGACGCGGGTAGCTTTAGCCTTCACCACCGGCACCTTGTCCATACTCTCAGTGGACGCTGACAGAGTCCCGGCAGGGGCCGGCGCGCTGGCCTCTCCTTCCTCCGCCTGTTCAACAGAGGACGGGGAGCACTTGAACAGGGAAGGGGAACCACACCTGAACGGAGGCCTCTGGGGCAGAAGCTGCTGAAATCTGGTCGCCTGTGGTGGAAGGGAGCACTGGCCGTGTCCACAGAGTGAAGACGGCCTCACCCAAGGGGCCACATGTTAGCACGTCCCGTGTGGAGCTGCAGCTCACCAAGATGGCAAGCGGGAACCGGAAGCTCTGAGGTCTGCTTCCTTCCCAGCCCAGCCCCAGGCCCTCGGCCACACTGTACTCCATCCATCAGAGCACGGGCGAAGTGGTTCTGGAACTTCCTGAGCGGAAGACCACCTGGAGGGCTTGGGAAAGACCCAAGAATGTGTGTTTCTAACAAGTGCCCCGCTGACCTGAGCCTGCTGGCCCTGACAGCACACTGCAAGAACCGCTGCTCCAAAGGCTTAGGCCATGGCCTTTTAAGCCAAACCAACAAACAAATGGATTTAACCTCTAGTCTTTAACATGCAAGAGCTGGGAGAAACCCGGGTTTATTCCATGGTCTGTGCCGTCCCAAAGGGACTGAGAAGACAAAGGGTCAGGAAGAAGGGTCAGAAGTCCTGCAGCGCTGTGCCCCGACGACACTGCGCAGCCGTGGCCTCACGCGGGTACAACCTGAACCCCTGTCTCCAGCCGGGCAGGTGGCTGGGGCGGCCTCACACATCAAAGGATGCGAGGGATGTCCCTGTGGAGCCTGCCCTCCTCCTCTGAGAGCACAGCTGCTCCCGACATTGGCGGCCGCCGCAGGGGCACACAGGAAACTGTCAGCCCACTCCGCCTGGGGAGGCGGGCAGCGGCCTTTACGAACACAAAGCGGGCGCTGCCCTCGGGAGCACCATCGTGGGAAGCCCTGCGCGTTTCCTGGTCCCCTGACTTGGCTGCTTTGCCATCGCAGGCCCAGGGCTTTACTTCCACTAACTGTACACGCAATGCTTCCTCCTGACAACTGACTGGGTCAGGTTTCAATAGAAAATTGAACGCTGGCGCCGCGGCTCACTAGGCTAATCCTCCACCTAGTGGCGCCAGCACACCGGGTTCTAGTCCCAGTCGGGGCGCCGGATTCTGTCCCTGTTGTCCCTCTTCCAGGCCAGCTCTCTGCTGTGACCAGGGAGTGCAGTGGAGGATGGCCCAAGTGCTTGGGCCCTGCACCCCACAGGAGACCAGGATAAGCACCTGGCTCCTGCCTTCGGATCAGCGCGGTGCGCCAGCCACAGCGGCCATTGGAGGGTGAACCAATGGCAAAGGAAGACCTTTCTCTCGGTCTCTCTCTCTCACTGTCCACTCTGCCTGTAAAAAAAAAAAAAAAAAGAAAGAAAGAAAGAAAGAAAATTGATATAGGAAACTCCACCCCCAGAGCTGTCAGCGACATCTGCTTAGAAAGGAGCTCCATGTCAGAAAAAATGAGGGGGACAAAACCTCATTAGAAAGAATCAGCGTGGGGCTGGTGCTGTGGCGTTGTGTGTAAAGCCGACACCTGCAGCGCCAGCATCCCATATGGGTGCCAGTTCAAGTCCCGGCTGCTTCACTTCCGATGCAACTCTCTGCTATGGCTTGGGAAAGCAGTAGAAGATGCCCCAAGTGCTCGGGCCCCTGCATGTGCATGGGAGACCTGGAAGAAGCTCCTGGCTCCTGGCTTTGGATTGGCTCAGCTCCGGCCTTTGCAGCCATTTGGGGAGTGAACCCCAGCGGATGGAGGACCTCTCTCTCTCCTGCTTCCTCTGTAACTCTGCCTTTCAACTAAATAAATAAATCTTTCAAAAAACAGAGTTGTACACAGGACATGGCTGTCCTCAGTGAAGTTGGGCTGGGGGCCAGAAGTCATTACAGCAGCTACAGGATACCTGCTTGGACCAGCCTGCGGTCTTCGGTTTCTGACTCTCCACGAACACCCCTCCGACGTCAAACGGCGTTCCCACCCCGCCCCCACTGTCCAGGAGCATTCCCACGGCTGAGATGGAAACACCGTGGCTCGGGGTAACGCTGTGTGCCCAGGGCCACAGCTAGTCTGCCCACCTTTTGGGGTTCACACCCCAGTCTGTTAAAGCAGACCCTCATAGTTTCCACTTCCTCTGAGGCCCGAGCTAACGCAGTTCGGAGCTGGGGAAACTGCAGGTGCAGGAGAAGCAACTCTGCCCGAGAGGGAGCAGCAATATAACCTTTCTCGTAAGCGTGGAGGAGGGAAGGCTGGGATGACCGTCCCAGCTGCCTGCACAACGGGGCTGCGCGCAGGGTGTGCGTCGGACAGCACCTGCAGGGGACGGCGACAGGGAGTGGCCTCTGGGCAGGGGATGGAGAAGGAGCCCACTCTTCCCTGAGCCACAACACAAACACCGGGCCGGAGCACAACACAGACACAGTCCCGGCCCTCGAGGCTGTCAGAGGGGCACAGGCAAGGCCACGATCCTGACAAGGTGCGTGGCTCAGAACTCAACCAGGAAGGCGACAGCAGTTTCATCAGGACGGCAAGTCAGGCAAATCTCCCTCTGCAGGAGACACGTCTGAGCTCAGACCTGCAGGCCAACGCAGCGGGAGCAGGGCCGGGGGCTGAGAGCGCAGGATGGGGGGGAGGGAAGAATGGGGGGGGGCAACTTTCCAAGCAGCTGGGACGCCAGCGATGGCTGAGGCACAAGACACCCAGAGGGAGCGGCTGCTGCCCAGGGCTGTGGGGCTCCGGGCACAGGGGAGGAGGGGCGGTGGGCGTGCCTGAAGCCATTGGCAGGGTCAGGTACCTGGGCGAGCTGCTGGTACTTGCGCTCTGGAACCACTGGCTTCCAGGGGATGCTGCCCATGTCCGATGGGGGAGGAGTCATGGGTGCAGGGTCCTCGAGGGCATCGTCATAGCTGAATGCCCGGCGGCACATCCCGATGGGCAGGGACATCTTGCCGAGAGGCCCGTTGGGCTCAAGAGCTAAGAACAGAGACAGCAGTGAGGAGGGGTCAGCCGCACGACAGCGGCTGTCAATCACCACGCAGGACGGGAGCTCTCACGTCCCCCAGTGTAGATCCATGACAAGAGCAGCCTGGACACCCAAGGAGGGCACCCTACCGACCCGTTCTCCACACAGCACACTCAGCAGCCCTGACCCATCATGGACTAGGAAACCAGAAGTTCTACTTCAATCTACCTGGCAAGGTCACACAACTTGGAAGGGGAGTTTGCAATCGAAACCTAAACTCATCCGACTGTGGGGCCACTTCTACTACATCCCCTCACTGCAGGACTAAGGCCCCCCATGCATGCCAGGAGGATGTCAAGTTCTTGACCCCCCAGAACAAGGAAAACCAAGAGGTCGAGTAATCTGCCCAAGGTTAAACAGAAAATGTCTCGCTGGGGTCCAGGTCTGCCCGAGGCCTCACTGCCAACCCTCTGCCTCCCCTACCCCACCACCGAAAACAGCAGCCCCCCAAGAACGATTCAAACACCACTCTGTCCAGCGTCCCCTGTAGCTTCGGGTGTTCTGCATGATTTAAGCAGCAGAGCCGACCCCGAGCGCAGACACGGAGGACAGCCACTCTCACAGAACACTGCCGTCACCAGAAGCAACTGCTGGAAGGGCCCGTGGTGACCAGGCTGCCAGCTCAGCTGGGCCGGCCGAGGAACAAGGTTCCCGTTGTTTGCTTTGCTAATCCCTTCCCGTCTGAACTCCCGTCCAGAGTCAAGGTGACATTTTCCCGCTGTGACGATTATATAACCACTCTCCAAGACAGCAGCCTGCTGGCAGTCAATCTAAAACCCCAAAGACTTCACTTCAAAGTGAGCGGACCACTTCAAAGTGGCCACCGTTACTACTGTTACCATGAATAATAATTACTCATAAATCCATAGAAACACAGAGAGGATGACTGGTCCCCAGGCGCTTAAGTAGGGAAGTGAAATGAGCCCACTAATGGGTTTCCTTTCTGGAATGATGAAAAGATTCCAGTTAGATTAGTGGTGATGGCTGCATCACCACACCACCACGTGAAGGTACCACAAACTCCTAAACTGTTCGCTTTAAATAGGTACACTTTGGGGCCAGCGCCGTGGCACACTAGGTTAATCCTCTGCCTGTGATGCAGGCATCCCATATGGGCCCAGTTTGAGTCCTGGCTGCTCCACTTCCAATCCAGCTCTCTGCTGTGGCCTGGGAAAGCAGTAGAAGATGGCCCAAGTCCTTGGGCCCCTGCACCCACGTGGAGAGACCCGGAAGAAGCTCCTGGCTTCGGATCAGCACAGCTCCAGCCATTGCGGCCATCTGGGGAGTGAACCATGGGATGGAAGACCTCTCTCTCTCTATCTCTCTCTCTGACTTTCTTCTCTCTGTAACTCTTTCAAATAAAAATAAATGTTAAAAATATATATATACACACATAAATAAGACTAGTATTTTCCTTGCTATGCACTTACACCCCTCATCTAACCCTCATCACACAGAAATTTTTCCCACTGTCCAGCTCAGGAAACAAAGGCGTAGATCTTCAGTGACGCCCCTGGTACCAGCCAGCAGGTAGGGGTGGGAACAGGAGAGCAGACCTCACTCTCCTGCGACATACACGCTGCTCACATGGTAGAAGAGTAACCTATGGGGCACAAGCCTCTGGCTCAGGAGCGCGACAGGGAGTTCGTGGCAATCACAGCGACAGTGAAACACTGACACACAAGCTGGTGACGTGAGACCAGACACGGATCTACACTGGGGCACGGGAGAGACTTCTATTAATTCACCTAATCTGGGACCAAGCTCAAAGATATCTTAATGACTCCTCAACAGATATCAACAGCCTTCCTAAAAATGATGAGTCATCCAGGGGCTGGCATTGTGGCACAGTGGGTTAAGCCACCGCCTGCATCCCACGTGAGTGCCGGTTCAAGTTTTAGCTGCTCTGCTTCTGATCCAGCTCCCTGCTAATGCACCTGGAACAGCAGCAGCAGGCGGCCCAAGGTCCCTGGGCCCCTGCCACCTGTATTGGAGACCCAGATAGAGTTCCAGGCTCCTGGCTTCAACCTGGCCCCATCCTGGCCATTGTGACCATTTGGGGAGTGAACCAGTGAATGATCTTTGTCTGTCTGTCTTTCCTTCTCTCTTTTTTAACTCCCCTTTTCAAATAAATAAACCTTTTAAAAAAATACATTTTACTAGAAAACATTCCTACAAAGAGACCAAATAATCTTTGGGGCCCCAGGGTGGGCGGGGAGATTGGCCTGGTGGGTAACACACTACCTGGGATGCCCGCATCCCAGGATCCTGCTAATGCGCACCCTGGGAGGTGGCAAGTGACGGTTCGAGTAGCTGGGTCCCTGCCACCCATGTCGGAGATCCAGGTCACGTTCCCAGCCCCTAGCTTCAGGCTGACCCAGCCCTGGCTGTTTGGGGTATTTGGGGAGTGAACCAGCTGACAGGCGATCTCTCTCTGTCTCTCTACCTTTCAAATAAGTAGACAAAAAGGGTTCTGGGCAATAAATGCACACTCATCACTAACTTTTAACTCACATTTTAAGAAAATTTGCTTAACCTTCACAACGACTCTAAGAAAAGGGACCATCATTTATCTACACTAAGAATCAGCAATGCAGTGATTCAGATCTACTGAAAAACTCCATCCCCTTGCCATGGAACAGGACGAGGGGAATGAATGACGTCAGTAACCCGGAAGTCACTGCCCTACACAGACCCTACATGGACCTTGTGCCTCTGTCCAGACCTCGTCCCGCCCCTTTCCCCAAAAGACAGGCCAAGTTTCATCACTTTGGTAAGAAATCGGTCCCACCCTTGAATGAAATGGCTGCTCCTTTTTAAGTTACATTTCGGGTTCACACCACGGCTGGGTGGAGAATACGACAGCATTTAAACGATGCCTGTCAGTTGAGTCTAAGTACTGGTGAAGGAGTAATCATTAAAAGCATATGGTTTGGATGAAGACCTCTGTCTAAGCTTACAACACTCAGAGCAAAAAATGATTGGACGAAAAAGCAGTAAGTTTACCAGGCATTTCTGGGTGTCTTGAAGCCATTGAGAGACTGGGATCCGGGTGCTTTCTCTATATAGAATTCCAAGTCCCTGCCACCTAATAAAAAACAATAAAGGGCATTTCTCTCAGTGAACACCACAGAACAGCCCCAGTGATGACAGGCACACAGAGTATTACAGCTTGTTGACAGGCTCAGACATACACACAACAGCCAATGGGTGACACGCATGCCATCAGGGGAGAGGGAGGGGAGGGGAGGGCAGGGCAGGGCAGGGCAGAGGAGGGGATAAAGGCCAAGGTTTCTCTCACCCCTGGATGAGCTTATCACCTGTTTGATGACAACGAGACGCCACACCTGGTGAAGTCACCTTACCCCAGTGAAATGACGTGATGACTATGCGGACAGACAGATGTTAACGCGGAGCATTTTCCTGCAGCTGCCAGGGAGCCAGGCTTCCCAGGAGTCCATCCAGAGGTTCTGGTAAGGTCACAAGCCAGCATGGGTACAGCTGTCTGCAAACCTCCCGCCCCTAACAACCCTTGCAAGAGGCGCTCTCTGCACTGCCTCTTACACTTGACCAGGGACCAGGCAGCCACAGCATTCAAATCCACTCTTAATATTTATGGCGTTTTTATTCAAAGCTTTGTTTTAGCCTTGCGGCGACACTGCAGAGCAGGCATTATTTCACCCGAAGTTTAAACAGAAAAGAACTCAAAATCAAGGGATTTGCCCAAGGTCACGGGTAAGCGGCCCGTTTCCCAGACTCTTTCGCTCCCATTGCACAGGGGAGTCAGAGGCCCTGAGAAAGCCGGGGCTTGCTCATCGCCCCGCGCTGCACTGCCCTCCAGCCTGACCGAGCTCCGGGAGAGCCCAGTTAGAAAGCACGCTCGAGCCAGCCTCGCGTCCCGGGAGCGTTCCCACCGCAGACGCGGCTCCCGCTCCTTGCCCCGCACCCCGCCCTCCCGCAGAGCCCACCGTCCCGCCAGCATCAGAAAGGCCAGCCCCCACCCCTCGAAGCCAAGGCTAAGGAGATCAGGGCCGGGGCTGGCAGAAGCCGGAGGCGCCCTCGGGGGAGGGCAGGGCGGGGCTTGAGGGACGAGGGGTGTGAGGACTAGACGGAGGTGGGGGGTCCCGGACCAAGCCGGCCCGGAGAAGCGCAGGAGAGGCCCTGAGCCGGACCCAGGGGCATCAGGTGAGAGAAGCCGCTTCGTGACACTCCAGCCATGGGGGCGGCAGAGACAGGGGCGGTGCGGCCGAAATCTGAGCCGGGCCAGGGGTGACGGAGAGGCCCGGGGATCCCCAGCGCCGGCTTGGCCGAGGGGCCGACTGCGCGCCCCTCCCGATGCCCCGCGGACGCCGCCCGGGTGGGCCCGGCTGCCGTCTGCTCACCTGTTCTCCCGCTGCCGCGAAGCCGCCTGCGGCCCGAACTCCGGCACTAAAGATGTTCCAAGGACCCAGCTATCCTGAGCGGCAGTGGCGCAGTCCAGACCCAAGCCATGGTAAGCGCAGAAGCAACAACAGACGTCCCCAGCGCGCACCAGGGATCAAACACCAGCTGCCGGACTCGCCGGCAGCCCGGGGCAGGATAAAGCCTCTCGGGAATCACGGCACATCACGCGAGACTTGGCCCGGGAGGTGTTCGGGGCATGCCGGGAGTTGTAGTCTCAGGGTCTGCCGGGCTGCACGCCATTAGCTGCCCTGGGGGTTGCGTGGGATTCGGCTCGGTAGGCGGGATCCGCCAGGTCCTGAAGGAAAAGCCATCCTTGCTATCATCACAGCATCATAGTTGCTATCAAAGCTCATCTGCGGAGGGCTGTGGGGTGCAGGAAATGGGGGTCACAGGTCAGTATTTGGCCACTGAGGCTTTGCTCATCCCACTAGAGTGCCATTTCTGGCCTAGGGTGCACCAGGGATCAAGGTCTTTTATAAATTCTGCAACTGGCTTATAAATAGCTAATGTGATTTTCCGGCGTGTGTTAAAAGCGTTACTTTAATTTGGAACTTTTACAATATGCCACCTCTCTGTAAGCAAAGCTGACACCCTGACCCTCCCCCAGTGCCAGGGAGGTGCACAGCACCTCTCACCATCAGCAGGGGGAGAAAGGGCACTCTGCACCTTACATAATACATAAGGCAAGGTCACCCGGTTTAGTTCTTAGCCAACGTACGTGAAAACTGAAGCCTTTCCCAGAAGCCACTGCCCCTGATGAGAACAACTCTCCCCCTGACTTCCACGGTGCCCGTGTCTAAGTGGCATCATAGACAGTCGTGGGACATCCACTGCTTTGGATTTCACCCTTGCACTGGGCCCCAACAGACCAGGCTAAGCTGCAAATGGAGTCACTGGCACCAAGTTCCACACCACCACGCCAACACTCAGCTGTTACTGTGACCTTCCAAGGATCGGGATTGGAGCGTACAGCCAATTTCCCTAACAGGCCAGCTTCCTGGCACGGGAGCGTAGTTTCCCTCTGCCTTATCTCTTTCACAAAGAGGCAACCTGGAGTGACATGATGCTAACCAATCTGACGTTTTGTCTGGTGTTCTGGCTCTCCCTGCCTTACAAGGAAAATAACTTTGAAATGACCAGATCCACTTGGGGGGCGGGGGTTATTTGTCTGTCTGTCTGTTTGTTTCTATTCTCTTAAGTTCTTTTCTGTCTAAAACTAACACACACACACACACACACACACACACCGTTCAGTTCATGAAAACACTTATTCTATCCCAGGGAATAAAGTGCTGCCTGATTCTAAAATCCAAAATAAAGCCAGTTCAGAGCTTTAGGCTCAATTTTTATGATTTTGTCCTGTGTCTGTGGCCATCTGAGAAAGCTGCTGTTTTTCAGAAAGAACAGACTAAGTAAACCTTTCATCTTGGTGACCTTGTAAGGGTTTCTGTAATTTTTTGTTTGTTTCGGGGAGCTAATTCTTTAAGCCTAGACTTCCATACAAACCTTTATTTTTTTCAAATGGATTATTCTGCAAATGATTCGGTTGTGTGGAATTCCTGTTCCAGTGAAGGAGGACTCAGACAGTACCCAACTAAAGGCGGGGCCCAAGATGAACCCCACGTGAGCCATTTGAGACCGGGTCACCTCTCTCAGCTCCTGCAGGGACAGAATTCCACCCACCTGCCTTCCTCCAGACCTCTGCCCTCTCCGGCCAGTCCAAGCCTCAGCAAGATCTACTGACACCCTCCGGGCCCTGCAGTGGACAGGAACTGGGGCATTGGGGTGTTTATAGATGTGGCATTTGCATTTCAGGAACCTCTGGGTTGGACTTCTGTCTCATAACACACATGAGGCACTCAACCAAGAACTGCCCAGGGACTGCCCAGTCACAGCCCTTCAGCAGCCGAGGCAAGGAGCACTCACTCTTACAGGGATCTTGGCAAAGGTTGTCAGCCAGGAAGTGGCAGAGCTGAGGTTCAAACTCCAGGGCTGAGCACCCAGCTGAGACTTTGGTTGCTGAGCACAGTGACCAAGTGACCAGCAAAGAGCTGACCTGTTGCACTTGGCTGTCTTTGGCCTTAGCTTCTCTCCTTTGAACTTCCCTGGGACAAGAGGGTTGAAGGCACTGTTCCCAAGGAAGAAACACCTCCCCCTAGTGGTGACGGGGAAAGAGCGCACTGGAGATATTGACCTAGGAGCGAGAGGCTCAACTGTCCCCTGTCCTTAGAAACCAACTGCTCCTTTCACAGAAGGTGCAACCAACAGGAGGAGCCTGGCCAATGTCACACAGCTAGTCTGGGCCAGTTGATTTGATAAGAAAAAAAGAATGCTCTCGTGGCTTCTTTATGTTGGGCCCTGTGCTAGGAATACCCTGGGGACAAAGGCACCAACCCTGACAGTTATGGGCTGAACTAATTACTCTCAAAACTCTTATGTTGAAGTCCCAAGTCCTGGATCATTAGAAGGCAATGGTATTTGGTGACAGCATCTCTAAAGAGGTGATTACATTATATAAAGCCCCTAAGCCGATATGACTAGTGCCCATAGGAGAAAAGGAAGAAGAAAGACACAGCTGGGTAAGAGGAGGAGCTTCTACCATTTTGGAGCTCAGTGACATGCCAGTGGCTGTCAATCCTAGTAAAGAGATTGGAATGCTCCCAACAGTAAAAATGATCAGTGTTTGCTGTGATGGCTAACACCACTACCCTGATCTGATCATTGCACATCATATACGTGGGTGGACAGTTCACGTTGTTTGCCGTAAATATGCACAATTATTATGCATCTGTTAAACTTTTTTTAATTATAAAAAGGAAGAGGGGCCGGCGCCGCGGCTCAATAGGCTAATCCTCCGCCTTGCGGCACCGGCACACCGGGTTCTAGTCCTGGTCAGGGCACCGGATTCTGTCCCAGTTGCCCCTCTTCCAGGCCAGCTCTCTGCTGTGGCCTGGGAGTGCAGTGGAGGATGGCCCAAGTACTTGGGCCCTGCACCCGCATGGGAGACCAGGAGAAGCACCTGGCTCCTGCCTTCGGATCAGTGCAATGCGCCAGCCGCAGCGCGCTGGCCATTGGAGGGTGAACCAACGGCAAAAGGAAGACCTTTCTCTCTGTCTCTCTGTCTCACACTGTCCACTCTGCCTGTCAAAAAAAAAAAAAAAAAAAAAAAAGGAAGAGACATCAGGCATGTACCCAGAAGGAAAGAACTCATAAGAGGACAGCATCCGGGGCCCGGTGTTGTCGTGCAGGGGGTTAAGCCACCCTTTGGGTTGCCCGCATCCCATATTCCCATATTGGAGTGCCTGGGATCAAGTTTCACCTCCAACTTCCTGGTAATGCCCCTGGGAGACAGCAGATCACGGCCCAAGCACTGAGGGTCCTGCCACCCATGTGTTCCTGGTTCCTGGCTTCAGCCTGGCACAGCCCTGGCTGTTGTAGGCATTTAGGGAGTGAACCAGTGGATGGCAGATCTCTGTCCACCTCCACCCCCAACTCTGCCTTTCAAATAAATAAATCTTTTCTGAAAAGAAAGATTAAAATTAGGAAGAAGAAAAGAAAGCGTCCATCTGCAAGTTGAGGAGAGAAGTTCAGAAGAAAACCAAAGCTGCATGGCCCTGACCTTGGACTTGCAGCTCCCAGAAGTGTGAGAAGATAAACTCCTGTTGTTGAAGACACTGAGGGTGTGGCATTCTGTGATGGCTCACGGCTTAGGGCCCCACAGTCTTGTCTCAAGAGGAAGACAGTGAATGAAAGCTGGGTTGAGTCTCAGAGAACAGGAGCACAGGCGTGACGTCACGGGGGCCTGACTCAGTCTGGAACAGCAGGGGAGACAGCAGGGAGAACTGTGTGAGTCACAAGGGCAAAGAGGCGGGCAGGGAGGGTGCTCCAAGTGCAGCGAAGCGGAAGCTTGCGCCTGAGGAACCAAGAGAAAGCGCCGCTGGAGGATGGGTCTTCGAGGTAGGCAGAGCCCACTCTGGGCAAGGCAAGCGCTCTGGTCTTTCCCCTGAAAGCCATCTGGTCAGGGGCCATGGGGAAGCGGACACAGTGCAGACAACTGTGCAGGAGGAGAGGAGAGGCAAGAAGTGGAAAGAAGGGTCAGCGTTGTGGCGCAGTGGGTTAACACCTTGGCCTGAAGTGCCAGCATCCCATATGGGCACCGGTTCTAGTCCCGGCTGCTCCTCTTCTGATCCAGCTCTCTGCTATGGCCTGGGAAAGCAGTAGAAGATGGCCCAAGTCCTTGGGGCCCTGCACCTGTATGGGAGACCCGGAGGAAGCTCCTGGCTCCTGGCTTTGGACAGGCCCAGCTCCGGCCATTGTGGCTATCCGGGGGGTGGACCAGTAGATGGAAGACCTCTCTCTTTCTCTCTCTCTCTCTCTCTGCCTCTCCTCTCTCTGTGTAACTCTGACTTTCAAATAAATAAATAAATCTTTAAAAAAAAAAAAAAGTGGAAAGGAAGCCAGGATGGACCCTGGTGTAGAAGTCAAGATTTTGTTAGGTTGCATGGGGTGGGGGTGGGAGATATCCAAATGTCAGAAATGTGTATATTTTTAATTAACTATGCATTAATTTTTCATTTTATTTGAAATGAAACAGACAGATCTTCCATATGCTGGTTTACCTCCCACCCACCCACCCCCCCAGGATTCCCACAACAGCCAGGGCTAGGCAAGGCCAAACCCAGGAGCCAGGAACTCAACCCTGGTCTCCCATGTGGGTGGCAGTGCAACTACCTGAGCTATCATCTGCTGCCTCCCAGGATCTGCGTTAGCAGGAGGCTGGATCGGAAGCTGAACCTAGGCACTCCGATATGGAGCATGGGCATCTCAGCTGCCCCAAACACCCATCCCAAGATGGCACATCTGACCAGCACAAGCCAGCTCCCGGCATCTCGGAGGATACCCGAGAGCACAAGGGAAGTTGGCAGATCTAAGAAGCTGGCATAACAGCTGTGAGATTTCCCTGTGGCCAACAGATGGGCTGGGCCTGGGGCCAGGGTTGGCAACCCAGAGCAGCAGTGGGAGGAAGGGAACCAGTCCCTGGTGGAGTATTCCGATCCATCTGCCCTCTCTTCTCCCCCACTTTGTCCTGGGCAGAATGTTGCCAGCCCTGCCGCTGTTGGCACAAGCAGGCTGGGGAGGCTCTGGCTGGT